TCTGCTGCCAACAGAACTCAGCACAGATCCCTGCCAGCTCCCTCCCCAGGACACAGTCCCCACAGTACACTACTGGGTTCTCACCTGCTACTACGCCAAAGAGGAAGCTAGACCCCACCCCAGCCTGCTCTGCCCAAGCACACTCCCAGGGGGCTGTCTGTTTGTCCATCCACAAGCACCCAGAGCCAGAAGCTGGCATGGTGCCAGACACCAAAGCGTTTATCACACCACACTTTCCTGCTATGACACACGGAGGAAGGACAGGGATTAGCGGCGTGTCTCAGGCTTGAGCCCTACTCCCCAAACCCGTGGAAGTGGCGCAAGTCGGTGGCTCCCTGTGGCCCTCAGTGTCTCTGGCACTGTGGCCTTGATTTTTTTTTTGATGGATAAAATCCTTTGATTCCGAAATGCCATGTGGGAATTTTCTGGGGAGAGCAGGGCGGGGGTGTGGGGAGGGGTGTGTGTGCAGAGAAACAAAAGGCTGATTTTCAGGGCTTCAAAAGCCTTGTTATAAGCAGAAAATTTAATTTCCAGACATTTGGTTCTTTTATTCTCATCTTTGAAGAAGGCAGGAGATCAACAGAGGGCAGCCGTCCCGCGCCCCAGGCACGGTGCATGTTGGAGGCATCTGGGCCTCAGACACCCTTGTCTTGGAATGAAGCAGTAAACAAACCTAGGAGATAAAACTGGCCTGTGGTGGAGGATCGGGCCTGGCTCCCAGGCAGCGTTTTTATAGATAAAACAACAGAACAAGACTCAGAAGACATGCTGTGAAAAGGGCCCGTGAGGGCACCAAGTCCCTGCTCAGGAGTGAGCTGCACACAGCAAGAGAGGGTCAGGAATTTAGAAGTGTCTTTTGCCACCTGGAAGCCCCTGGAGCCTCTGGGTTTGGGTTCTTTGTTTGTTTGAGACAGGGTCTCACTGTGAAGCCTAGCTAGTGTTCAGCTCCTGACAATCCTCCTGTCTCAGCCTTCTCGATGAGTTTCGTGTTACACGTTCCTTCACCATGATGACCACCATCAAGAGGAGAGAACTGTCTATCTGGTAAGGTTTGGAGGTGACGGTGTCCAGAAAGGTCAGCGGGCTTGAAGATTCTCTATCTTCAATCGTGGGGAAAGAGGTATTGTGTTTCTGAAATGGTCTGAGGGTTGAGGTGCAGGAACAGAACCCAGAACTTCAAACATGCGGGACAAGTGCACCTCCACTAAGACCCCCCCCCCCCCGCAGAGAGGGGTTCTAGGCAGGTACTCCACCACTGAACGGTGCCCTCAGCCCCTCAGAGGGAGAATTCCAGGCAGGTCCTCCGACAAAGCCCAGGCCAGGGTGATGTCCTAACAAGGAGGCCTTCCTGGAAACTCTGATGACAGGATCCAGACCCTTCTGTCCCAGAGGGACCATGGCCTTCAGTAAGTTGGCAACTCTGGATCCTGGGTCATACATGATCTGCAGGCCTCCATGCTGCATCGCCATCTGTGCGGGGCACTGATTCTGCACACAGTCAGTGCTCAATAAATACTCTAAAGCCAAATCTCCTGTGTCTTCCCCCAGCAGACACTTTCTGATGAGTACACATTCCTGCTTGCTTCTCACCTCCCTCAGCAGAACTCCCAGATCATGCCTGTGGCAGGTCCCACTGCCTCATGGACCCGTGCTGGCATACACCAGGGCACGGCAACACTGAGGAGGACAGTGGCGTTCTCCAGAAGTTCAGCTCTGTGGGCTCGCTTGGCTGAGTCTTTGTACCTCTCTTGGGTCTTGAACCGGTGTCTCCCTCTGCCCCTCCCAACGCCCCCATGCTTTGTTTCATCTCTAATTATGTGTGTGTCTATGAGTGGGTATGGGCACATGAATGCAGGAGACCAAGCAGGCCAGAAGAGGGCAGCAGATTCCCTGGAGCTGGAGTTACAGGCAGTTACGTTGCTGCCTGACACTGGGAACCAAACTCTGGTCCTCCCAAAGATCAGCGCGTGCTCTTAACCACTGAGCCATCTCTCCAGCCTCTCTGTGTGCTTGAATTTCTTTTCTTAGAGTCCATTCATCCTCATAGAACAAGCATTTACTGAGCACCACTCTGTGACAGGCCCTTTCCAAGAGTCTGGGAGGGTACGACAGGGAACCCATTTCCTGACATGGAGAACTCTTACCCAGTGACACTGAGCAGAGGTTCAGAGGGACAGGCCACTGCAGCAGCAGCAGTCAGGAGACACTGCTGGAGGAGAGAACTCCGAGCAGAGACCCGAAAGCAGTGGAGAAAAATCACACTACTGGGCAGAAGTGTGGTCTAGACCAAGGAAATGACATGCTCAAAGGTCCTGGGGCAGAACAGATGTGTATGTTTACATAGCAACCAGAGGGTTACAGTGACTGGGACACCAAGATGGGGAATTAAGAGCCTGACTCCAGGGATACACCATTGAGGAGTTGCAGGCCATGGAGCCCTCAGATTCTTAGGCAGGTCCTGACCAGTCCCAGCTCCTGGCCTTCCTGCAACCTCCTTCATATTCAGCTATGGGAGGGAGCTGTGACTCACTCGTAGCCAATGGCCTAGTGGCCTTCCTGTGATTACACCATGCTGTAGCTTTCTTCTGCTCTGATGAAGTCAGCCACTGTATGTGGCTGTGCTGGTGACCCAAATGACCAGGAGCTCAGGATAGTCTCTGGCCCACAGTCATCAAGGGACAGTGAGTGTGGGCAGCCATCTTCCTTAACTGAAGGCCCGCTAAGGATCTAGCCCTGGCTGTACCTTGACAATGCTTCAGAAGAGCTATGGGCCACCCCAGAGCCCACCTCAGACCCCACTGGGTCTGTGACACTTTTACTGCATAAGCTGTAGATACCAGTGAGGACGCTAGAAATGCGTGGAAGACCCAGGAGAGAAAACAGTAGGGCAGGAGCTCAAGGTTACCCAAGAACCACAAGGAGACTGGAAATTGGGGCTGTGGAAAGCCTGGAGCTGTGAAAGCCACGGGAGCGTCAGGGTGGAGATGGCATTGCCGTAGACCTGGTGTCAGAGGCAGCCATGATTCCTGAGGGTGGAGCTCAATGGTTATCCGATGGATCACATGCGAAGGGAGGAAGGCAGGGAAGTGTTACGGTTTGCAGCTTGAGCAGTGGAGTGGGTGGAGGGTAGCACCATGTTACTAAAGTAGGGGATACAGGAGAGGGATGGCCTAGGAGTGCGCTGGGACATCATCAAGAGTCATGCTCAGGGTTGGGGATTTAGCTCAGTGGTAGAGCACTTGCCTAGCAAGCACAGGGCCCTGGGTTCGGTTCTCAGCTCTGGGGGGGTGGGGGTGGGGGAGGAAGAGTCATGCTCACCAAAGCCAGGTAGGGTGGCTCAAGTCTGTAATCCCAGCACTTTGGGAGGTTGAGGGAAGAAGATGGCCCACAAGTTTGCTACATAGCAAGCTCCAAGGTAGCCTGGGATGTAGAATGAGAACCAGTCTCAAACCAACAACGAAAAGTGTCACATTCACCAGGTTTAGGGGTTACGGCCTGAAAGGTTGAGGTATTTGGCTGTGGGACGCCCAGGTAGCAGTGTCTTCCCCACCAGACCCGGGTGCCCTCGGAGAGCCGTGGGGAGGGAGGCTGTGGCACCAGCGTGGTCTTGGGAGTTCCCTGGCAGCCATCAGGAATCTGTTGAAGCCACCTTCACAATGCATCCTCCTCAGAGCTTCCCTGTTCACACTCGAACCATCACCTTGGGGTCATAAGCGGAATCCAGAGCTCTAGGCATTGAGGGTAAGGAGGGGGACTGGACTGCCTCTCTCTCTTGTTTGGAATGACTTCTCTCTCAGATGTGCTAAGGACTTCCCTTTGCCTTCTATTTGTGTGAGCAGGTCACATAAGGGTTCTAGGAAGTGAAGCTTCATGGGTAGTTCAGTTGCTGTCTTGAGAAGCCCACTCTACTAACACAGAAAGTTCTGTCCTAAACCCCCACAAGCCTGTAACAGGTGACATGTGTATAGAGGGAGGGAAACAGCCATCATCCTGGCACACAGAAAAGAAAGACAAAAAGAAAAGAAAAGAAAAAAACACAGCAAGAACACCATGACCAAAAGCAACTTGCGGAGGAAAGGGTTGATTTTGCATATGCTTCCTGATCATTGTTCATCACCGAAGCAAGTCCTGGCAGGAACTCACACAGGGCAGGAATCTGGACGCAGGAGCTGATACAGAGGCCATGAAGAGGTGCTGCTTACTGACTTGCTCCTCATGGCTTACTCAGCCTGCTTTCTTGTATCATCCAGGACCATCTTCCTAGGGGGTGGCACCACCCGTAGTGAACTGGGCCCTCCCACATCAATCACTAATCAAAATGATACTGCACAGACTTGCCCATTGGACAGTCCTACAAAGGCATTTTCTCAGTTAAGAATCCCTCTTCCGAAATGACTTTAGATTGTGTCAAGTTGACAAAAGAAAAAAAAAAAAAAAGGCCAGAAAAGGGCCAGTACACATGGAGACCTGGATGACCTTTTCCAGCTTCTTGTCTGGTTTCCCAGCTGCTCACTAAGTCGAGGGGGGAAACTGGGTGCTAAAATCTATCTCAGGGCTCAAGAGATGGTTCAGTGGATAAAGTGCTCTCCATGAAAGCATGAAGTTTGAATTCCTCCAGAGCCCATATGAAAGCATGTGTAGTAGTGTGTGTAGTAGCACAGGGTCTGCATCCCAGCACTCCTGCAACAACAGGAGGGCTCTAACAGTATCCTGGAGACAGGATAATTCCCAGAGGCTCTCCAGCTAGCTGTCCCAGCATACACAGCAAAGCAGTGAATGGGAAATCCTGTTTCAAATGAGCTGGAAGGCAAAAATTGACATCTAAGGCTTTCTTCTGACCTGCATATGTGTGTGACCACACTCGTACACATGAACGCACACACACACACACACACACACACACACACACACACACACACACACATACACACACACACACACACACACACACGAGATTAGTAATAAAACAAAATAAATTCCATGCCAAAACAGCACCTTACCACACTACCCATCATTCACGGTGTCTGGATGAGTAAAAGATGTCTCTTATGGCATTAACAATCTTGAGTGATGGTCTCTGGCTGGCTGTTAGTCCATCACTGGGCTCAGCATTTGAATCAAGCTTGCATTTGACTGTGGCAGAGACCTCCCCATGGTGACTGACCAAAAAAGAACATGATAGGTTTGAGTTGGGTTTGTTTTTGTTTGTGTTTTTTTCTCACGATACAAGAATTCTATAGGCAGGAAATCCAATATAATTAATGCAAGTTCTCAAACAACATTGCTAGTGCCTCCTCTTCACAAGCATCCTGCTCTGCTGTTCCTGGCCTGTGGTTTTGTGGTAGAGCTGCTCCAGTTCCAGGCACCACACTGACCTTCCAGGCAGAATGAATAGAAGAAGGAAAGGCAAGATGCACCTGCCAGCTGAATCTGTCCTGAATTTTTAGGAAAGTAATAGTCTTTCCTTATGCCATCATATCTCATCCGCACATTTCCTCAGCTAGCACAGGATCCACATAGCTGAAAGAGAGTCTAGTGGAAAGAAAGAGAATGAGAAACCGGTGGCTGCATCCACACATCCCAGGCTTAGACCAGCACATCCTCCAATATCCTCAGGAGGTAGAGGGAGCATATATCACTAGATCTGGACCCCATAAGCTGTGGTCTGAGAGCCAGATAAAGTGCCCATTTTAGTTTAAGTAAGACATGTTACTGAAATACAGCACTGCTTACATATTATCTGTGGTGATCTGGTTTGCTTTGGCAGCAGATGATGTGATGGAGACCCCCATGGTCCACAGAATCTAAACATATGTGCAGCCTGACCCTCTAGAGAGAGTTCTCACCCTTGACAAGTTCCTGCTGAATGGAGTGTATTGATGGACCAGCAGCAGAGACTTGCCATGTGAATTGAGTGGCTTTATCAGATCATCCCACTTCACCCCATTCTCTGTAGAATATGCAGGCTCACCTTGAGGTAATGCATGGAGACTGATAATGATGACATAGAATGCTGTATCATATAGGATGGATCTCCATTATAGCCTCACAGGCAGGGTGCCCTAAGGAGGGAGCTTCTGAACCCTCCCGGGGGAGAAACCAGGCTCATTAGTGCATGCTACACAGGAGGCTGAGGCAGGACAATCACAGCACTAGAGCTATCCTGAGTTACTGAGTGAGTTCAAGGCTAGCCTGGGCAACTTAATAAGACTGTCTCAAAATACAAACTAGAAAGAGGGTTGGGACAGATTGCCCTGTGGGTTCTCACTGCTGGAAGTCATACTGACCTTCCTTAAGGTGTCACATTTTGTGGGGTCTAACTTTACCCTAAGCCTAGCCCTAACCCTTGTCCTGTGGGGTCTTGCTGTTGGAAGTCACACTGACTTCCTTTAGACGTCACATTCTCTCTGTAACTCCAGTTCCAGGGGATCCAACACCCTCTTCTGGTCTCTGAGGGCACTGCACACATATATATGTAGGCAAACCACTCATACACATAAAATAAAACAAAAAAATAAATAAATTTAAGCTATAAAGCAGAGGCTCCCATCCTCCACAACACAGGGCAGTACAGTCCCACGTTGGGGTTCTGAAATGCTTGCTCATTGGGCACTTTTAACATGGGGATTGGGAAACAGTCACAGTAGGGCTCTCTAGGCCATGTGTCCTGCCTAGCTCCTGAACAGCCAGCCTAGAGTCACAGGGGCTGTATACACACCAGGGTCTATGTGCCCCAAATGACACTGGACAGTCAGCATAAGGACAATAAGCACCCCAGTTTCCAGGAAGCTCCAGGGGATTCCACTAGCATTAGCATCCCACCAAGGCCTCTCCTGGGTTTGGTTTAGGCTATGCATTTTCCACTGAGGATCAGACTTTGAAGCCAGCGATGGGAACCCACAGCTGGCTGCTTCCAAATCTGGGGCCCATCGGATCCACTTTCAGCTTCAGAGACCAAACTGCAGCCAGGGAGACAATAACAACAGACAAGCTTTTGTTCTGACTAAACTGTTTTTTAATGGTTCCTTCCAGGCCAGCCCTGTGGAAGTCTCAACAAGGCAGCCATTGAACCGCCTTGGAAGTGCCCAGTCGGGCAGAGCCAAGGCGCTGGGGAGGGCTAGGCCTTTGCTCCGCCTTGGTGGTCTGGCCGCAAGGGAGGCTGGTTCCTTTATTTGTTGTCTGAGATGAAAATGGGGGAAGTGGGGGGAGTGTCAGGCAGGCAGGACTGACCCACAATTCCCGTAATTAGTGCCTTCAAAGTGTCAGGAGTTCTGTCACAGGCACACGGCACTCACACTATTGTCTCTGTGTGTACATGATGTGGGATGTCTTCCAGGAGGACACCCATTTCCAGAGGCTCAGTAGGGAATCTACTGACGGGGCAGGGTGCAGTGCCTGCTTAACATTGCAAAGACACCAAGGGAGCTGCAGTTCAGAACCTTTGCTTTTCTTCTGGAGGCCACTGCACCGTTGGGTTCAAGCAGAATCCAGAAGAGAGGAAGCAGATAGACCAATTTAAATACTGGTTTAATAACTGAGAACTGATTTGCTCATCGCAGTCAAGGGTTCAGGCTGTGAAGTACTCCCACAATGCAACCCTGGGTGCTCCTAGTCAGATACCCTGAGAGGAAAGCTTGGGCCACACAGTCCCTGTATCCTGGTCCAGGAACTGGCCCTGTATATCTGAAGCATCTCCAGGACTCAGTGGTGTCCCCAGTGTGGCTCAGCTCAGCTGGGCACTGGATCTCAGTGGCCATGTGTGGGATGTGCTCACAAGCAGCCTACCCTGGCCAGTCCGGGATAACCTACAGCATTGCTGGTACCCAGCCCCTGACTGACTACAGACATGACTGTGCAGGGCTCAGTCTACACAGGTGTTGGGCACAAGTGTGACTCACTGGTCCTGCAGATGAATAAGCTCGTAGGCAAGTGCCCAAGACGAGTCCCAAGGCCACGTGAGTGAGACGCTGCCTCTCAGCCACCTCCTGCTCCGAGCTCTCTCAGGACCACTTGGTGTCTTTAGATAAAGTTGGCCCATCATGCTGGGGCACAGGGGCAGCAACTGGCACGCAAGGAGTGGTGAAGGCCGCTGTTCCAGCGCTCAGCCAGGGAGGGCCACCTCCCAACCCAGCGGGCCATCAATGTCTTCTGGAGTAAGAAGAGACATCCCCAGTGGGCCACACTCTCCTTTCTCCCTCCCTTCCAGTTTTCTCCCTCTCTGCTTCCTTCCTTCCACCCCACTGCCCCCCTTCCTCAGTCTTCCTTCTCCTTTCTTCACTTTTTAATTAAACAAGGATGGGGTTCCTTTGCAGTGGCCAGCCACATGGCGTGCAGTCCCCTGGCTACCCGGATTAGTGTGTCCTGCCAGCCCCCATGGCTACGCAGGGCAGGACTCTATTTAAGCCGCTTGGAGTGAGTCTGGGGCAAATGAATGGTCCACCAAATGCTTCTCATATTTTCCCTCTGGCTGGTAAGGGCTCTTGTTCAGAATCACCCTCCTTTCTCCTCGTGGTCAACACTGAGGGATGCAGCTCTTTTTTTTGGGGGGGGGGGTCAGGAAGGTGTTGTTGTTGTTATTTTGGAGATTCTTTGGGGGTTTTTGCTTTTTGATTTTCGAGACAAGTTTTCTCTATGTAACAGTCGTGGCTGTCCTGGATCTCATTTTGTAGATCAGTCTGGCCTTGAACTCACAGAGATCTGTCTGCCTCTACCTCCTGAGTACTGGGATTAAAGGTGTGTGCCACCATACTTGGCTTGCAACGCAGCTCTTTTTTTTTTTTTTTTTTTTTGAGACAGGGTTTCTCTGTGTAGCTTTGCACCTTTCCTGCATCTTGCTCTGTAAACCAGGCTGGCCTCGAACTCACAGAGATCTGCCTGGCTCTGCCTCCCAAGCGCTGGGATTAAAAGCGTGTGCTACCACCGCCCGGCGCAACGCAGCTCTTAATAGCCAGAGTGTCAAAGGTTTGAAGTTTATATACAGACTCATTTTCCTATTTATTTATTCCCCTCTTTACCTGAAAAAATAGTTATTTAGTTTAGTTTTTTGTGTATGAGTGTATGCCTGTATGTATGCACATCACATGCATGCAGTGTCCACAGGGACCAGAAGAGGGCGTCAGGTCCCCTGGAACTGCAGTTACAGACAGTTCTGAGCGGCCTTGTGGGTGCTGGGAATTGAACCCGAGCCCTCTGCAAGAACAAGTGTTCTTAGGCCCCCCCTTTTTCTTCGCCTCTTCTTTCTTTTCTCTTCTTCCCTCCACTTCCTCCCCTTCTCCTCCTCCTCCTTTTTCTTACAGTCATACCTACCATAGACAAGATAAATAGGAATTTTTTTATTCACATAAAGGAAATTTTTTTCTTCACATAAAGAAAAAGGGCCGGGTGGTGGTGGTGCACATCTTTAATCCCAGTACTCAGGATCAGAGGCAGGTAGATCTGTCCAGCCTGGTCTACAGAGCAGGTTCCAGGACAGCCAGGGCTACACAGAGAAACTCGGACTCAAACAAAAAAATACAGAAAACAAAATGGAGGTATAGGTTCAGGAGTTGTGGTTGGTGGTCAGTTTCCAGTGCTGAGAACTCTCTAGATCCCTGTGACCCGCTGAGTGATGGCAGAAAGTCCAGCCTACAGCCCAGAAACAAGACCCAGCCTTGGCCGGGGCAGGCACTCGGCAGAGTCCACCACAGAAACAGAATTCAGACCCCCTGGAAGACGTGACACTGAGGAGGCCATAGCACAGAGAGGTCTAAGTAACTCCCCCGGGTCACACAGCTCCACAGAACTGTGGAACCCAAAGACGGGCTTGCCTCCAAAGCCCACTCCCCACGTCCACTCCATGCACTGAAGGATTGACATGTCAGGAGCAAGCTGCTAAGAAGCCAGACAAAAATTTCTGCTCTGAGTCGCTGCGGGGGTGACCAGCCAGATAAAGGACAGGGACATTTTGTTGTGATTCCCAGCTGGCAAGACACATTTGTAAACACTGAAGGCCAAGATTCAGACAGATTAGGGTTCATGTTGGAACACACCACTGACTGGCCATGTGACCTCGAATGAGTCCCTTAACTCTTTCGAAACTCTGTCCTCCTGGCTGGGAAATCCCAGCTGATGGCGGTGCAAGCCTCGGGGGCTGCCATGGGAATTCATGGAGGAGGAGGGT